TAATGCTCCCCATCTGTCCTGGAGAAAGGATGGCCTGGGAGTGTTGCACTGTTGTGACTAATCTGGATGGTTCCTCTGCTTTGTACCCCCACTGCCTGCAAAGGAGGTGGCAGAAATCCCCAGAGCATCCAAACAATAAATCTCAATAATCAATATTGAGATTTAACAGTTGATATCAAAGCTCTTTACTTTCCTCCCTCAGAGCTGTCATCTCAGCCCCTCAGGCAGGTGTCTCTATACCTGTTATCCTCCAGATTTTCTATCAAGTTTCTGCTCTTCACAATGAGAAAAAGCTGGAATTAAAACCTCAGATGAGTTCACATGGTGCTGTGAGTCAGAATCCTTCGAGATGGATTGTTTGCTGCAAGCCCTCCCTGGGAGCAGTAACAGATGATGTGTCCAGGTCCAGACTCATTTTTTAAAAATATTTCTCCTGAAGTTCCACAGAGAACAGGATATAAAATTCTTGCATCAGAAGAGCTGCCAGTTTGGGAGGAGAGCAGTGACCAGGGCAGGCTCCTGCTCAGGGCTCTCCACCCTCACCTGCTCTGGGTTCCCACGGTCTGGACACCCTTGGTTTGACTCCTTCCACCTCCCAGCTCAGCCACATGAAATATCTCCATGCGGATCCCAGTTCCAGGGCTGACCCCAGCCCAGGGCATTGCAGGGCAGTCGTTGCAGATTTTCAGTCTAACTCTGGACTGGCCACATTGCCCAGAGCACTCCTGGCATGAAACACTCAGCATCCAGTGAGATGGGTTTTTAGAGCCTGTGCTGCACTGAGATAGTGCCTAAAGAGAGTCTGGGGGCTGAAGAGAATCAAAATTCATCTATGAAAATCCTTTCCCTCTGCAATGCACCTGCTGCCCCACAGCCCCTCTGCTGGTTCACCACAGACTCCATCCTCAGTCTCCCCAGATCTCAGCTGGAAGTTTCCTTCCCTCTCCATTTCTGCTCTTTCTCTCTCTTTTTTAAAACCCCAGTACTCTGTGTGACTGACAATGACAACAGTGATGCTGTAGCAAACCTTCCTGAAAGAGGATTTGTCCTTTGAGGAACAATGATGCAGCCTGTAAATAATATCAGCATTTAATTATCAGCTCAACAGGAAGAGAAATTTCCTCAGAAATTTTTCCAGGAGCACTCAGAACGGGACACCAGAATGTCCAGCTATTTGAGGTGTGTTTGGTCCATCAGATTTATCAGGGGAATGCTGCAATAAGACATTTACCAAGGAAAATTATGGGATGTGGTAACTGGGCTAATGGGATGGAAACCAAGGCTTGCTGGACACCTCTAGAAGGATACAGGAGATGTGAGAACAGCTTTTTTAGGGATGATCATATTTACTTTAAGGTATCATTTGACACATGATGCATTTCCAAAGCTATGCAAGGCCCAGCTTCAATAGCCCTGCAAATCACATGCTGCTTTTGGCCTCTAACAGCCCCAAAAATGCTTCCAGCAGCAAAATGAGCAAAAATTGTCCCACTGCCTTTGACGGGTAGGGCTGAACCAAGAGGAGCTGTGAGGCCAGCCAGCACATCCTGTGAGATGCCAGGCAGCTCTGCAGCCACCACAGGTATTTCAGGGTGAGTTGTAAAGAAATCTGCCCATGGAGCAGGGGCCAGCCTGGCCCATGGGTGAGACATGTCCCAGCCTGCTCCACAGAGGCCTCCCCAGGAGAAGGCTTTGATCAGCTTTGGTACTTCCACCTTCCCACCAACCTCCTACCTGGGGTGGGTCTGCTCTGGATTCTGCCCTGGGAGAAGCTCTTTGCCCTCCAGCACATCCTAAATGCCTTTTCACCTTGTGAAACATGAACAAGGAGACAACAGGAGGCTTAAAGCTTTTAATGAGGTCTGGAGACATTCCCACCACCTGAGGAGCTGAAGAGGAAAAGCATGAAAAGGAGGGAATGCTTTACAGGAGGCTGCAGGGTGGGGGAGGATTGAAGCAAAGGTGGAAGCAAAACCAGCTCAAAGGGAGTCAGGAGGTGAGGACAGTGCACACTCCTGGATTCCTGCATCCTGAGAGCCAAGCCCAACACAACCCCAGCAACAGCCAGACCACCTTTCACACAGAGCTTTTCTCTCCCTCTCCTAAAAGCAGGGTTTCATTTCCCCGCTGTGACCCAGCATCTGCTCAAGCCAGTGCACAGACCCCAGTGAGCCACATCCCCAGGTACTGGGAATGGGCTCAGAGCTCTGCCCACAGCTGCTGTCATTTAAAAGACATCCCCCTTTGTCCTAAAATCATAACACAAACAAATTTTTGGGGAAATTTTTTGCTTCCCACTGCCAGAGGGCAGGAATAGATGGGATATTGGGAAGGAATTCTTCCCTGTGATGGTGGGGGTGCCCTGGCACAGGGTGCCTAGAGCAGCTGTGGCTGCCCCTGGATCCCTGGCAGTGCCCAAGGCCAGGCTGGATGGGGCTTGGAGCAGCCTGGGACAGTGGAAGATGTCTCTGCTCATGGCAGGGGTGGCACTGGTTGACCTTTAAAGGTCTCTTCTAAACCAACCCATTCTGGGTTTCTCTGCATTTCTCCATTGCAATGCTGTGTTCACTCTGGCAAAACTTTGTTCTCTGTATTTAAAGGTGAGCTTCATCTTTGCCAGGCCGTTGGACCATTTTTGCTGCACTATCCCATACACTTCATGCTTTACCTTTGCCCTGATGGATCAAACTTGTCATTTCCTTCACCCTTTGAACCAGCAGTACTTCACCTTTGCCACAGCAGAAAGGGCTCAGGTCCTGTCTCTGCACATCGCCACCCAAAAGCCTCCTTCATTTGTTCTTACATCTTTGCAAGTTTTCTCCATTAAGTGTTTGGAAAGCCAATATTTCACATGCCTAGGTCTCTCCTCTTTGGCTAAACTTAGAAGCAGACCACTGACCCAGGGTCACCTCCAGTTCAGTAATAATTTAAGTGTGAGATTGCTTTTCTCCCAAACCAAGCCACATCAAACATTTCCTTCTAAAATATTCAAGTTCCTCTCGAGTCTATCAACTCAATTTTCTATCTGAAAGCACCCATGTATCACACTGCTCATCACCACCAAACCCATTGAGTTCTTAGACTTGGGTTTCTTCTTTTGATTTTCAGAAGAGGTGGGAATACACAGGACACACCTGTGCCAGACCCCTCAAGGGAAAAAACCCACACTGAAAATTGAAACTACAGCCTCAGATCCTGAGCTGTGCACGGTCAAGAGGCAGCACACACAGATTTCATGTGCTTGTACCAAATAAATTTTTTTAAAAGCACATTTAAAACCAAATAAAGCACAAAAAAAATTCTGTGTGCCTGTACACACAGAAAGCTGCTTGTACCAAATAAATCATTGACACAGAGCAAAGGATCACTCAGGCTGCTTTAATAGAGTCCAGCTTGAGCAGTGGTCAGTGACAGCTCTGTGCTGTTATCTGCAGAAATTCATCCCCTTCCCTGGCACAGCCACATGCACATCCCTGTGCCTGGAAAGCCAAACTCTCCCTGTATCCCAACTGTGGGCTTCTGATTGTGACAGCATGAATTATAACATCTGCATTGTCTCACATGGCCTTCACATGAGACTGAAAATGGAATAAAAGTTGTCCCATCTCTGGGTCAGAAAAGAGCTTAATCCAACACCCAGCCCCTTCAGGGAGTGAGTGAGTGCTGACACTGAGTGACTGAGAAAGGGGAGGCCCCCCAGCAGATGCTTCCATGTGAATTAGACTGAATGATACAATTAATACATTTAAAATCCAGATTATTTTATGCAGCAGGAATGAAATACCAGTCGTGTCCTAGGTGAGAAGTGCCAAGCCAGCAGACACTTCCCAGCATGTGCTGGGAGGATCAGTGGAGAGGGAACAGGACCCTCCACGTGTGCAAGGCAGCACAGACCAGTCCCGAGTGCTGCAATCACTGAATTACAAATGCTCCTGTCTATTCTGCCCTCACTGATGTGTGCACCAACAGCTCTGCTTGCCACGAGAGTCTGGAAATCCGCCTGAGGAGCAGCTCACACAGAAAACAAGACAATAACCCCAGAACACTCTGCATGGGAAATTCTGCATTGACCCAACCTGTTACAAACCCATCTCTGCCTTTATCACAAGCAAACTAAACCGTGTGGGGAAGACACAAACCCCGGGACAGCTGTGCCCGAGTGATTCTGACCCTGCAGCGTCCCGGGCTGGAGCAGCAGCTCTGCCCCGTTCCTGGGCTGCCTTGAAGCACCTTCACGTCCCCGTCCCTGCCCGCTGAGCCCTGGCTCCCTGTGCCAGCCCCATCCTCCCACCTTGTCCCCCAGGGAGGCAGCCTGCAGGGAGGGATCAACGCCAGGGGCTGATTCGCACCCTGAGCAGACCGGGAGCGCACTTCGGGGCTGAAATCCAGTTTTCCTCCAGCCAACAGAATTTCCACATCCCGCTCTTGCACGGTAAATCCTGCTTTGGTCCCCTCTGTCCGGGCTCGTCGGGAGCTCAGGGAGGCTCCTGCGACCCCAGCACCCCGTGTCCCCCGTGTTCCCCGTGTCCCCTTCCCTCCCGCCCTGCCCCTCACCGCCCCTCCGGGAGGGTCCCGCCGGTGCCAGCGCTGCCCGGGGCAGGGCGGGGGATGCTCCGGGCGCTGCAGGTGCGCGGCTCGCCCGGGACCCCCTCGCAGCGACGGGGACGTGCCCGGGCACCGGGGCAGCCACGCGGAGCCCCTGCTCGCCCTCCGCAGAGCATCCGCGGGGAACCACGCTGCCACGGCTCCGAGCTGCCCCGGGACACCCCGAGCTCCCCATGGACACCCCGAGCTGCTCCTGAACACCCCGAGCTGCTCCTGAACACCCCGAGCTGCCCACGGACACCCCGAGCTGCCCCGGGACATCCCGAGCTGCTCCTGAACACCCCGAGCCGCTCCTGAACACCCCGAGCTGCCCACGGACACCCCGAGCTGTCCCTGAACACCCCGAGCTGCCCACGGACACCCCGAGCTGCCCCGGGACATCCCGAGCTGCCCACGGACACCCCGATCTGCCCACGGACACCCCGAGCTGCCCAGGACACCTCGTCCCCCGCCCCGGGTCCCGGTGCCTCCCCTCGGAGCCCCGCGCTGCCCCCGGTGCCCGCGGGCGGTGCTGACCCGAAGTAGGCGGCGGCGGGCGGAGGCGGCAGGAGGAGGAGGAGGAGGAGGATGCGGCAGGGCTTGGCGGCGGAGCGCATGGTGCGGGCGGTGCCGGTCCCAGCTCCTGCGGGCCGCCGGGCGCCGCGGCTCTTTAAGCGGGAGGCGGGGCGGCCCCGGCCCGTCCCGGCCCGGCCCGTCCCGTCCCACCGCCGCCGGGAACCCCCGGGGCTCCCTGGGGACCCGCCGCACCCCCAGCCCTCGGGGACGCCGCGCCGGGTCCCTCCATCCCCGCCGGGTTCCTCCATCCCCGCAGTTCCTCAGTCCCGGCAGGATCCCTTTATCCTCGCTGGGTCTCTCCGTCCCCCGGGATCCCTCCATCCCCATGAGATCCATCTATTCCCCCGGAATCCCTCCCTCCGCGGGGAACCCTCCATCCCCGTGGGATCCCTCCATTCTCCCAGGATCTATCCATTCTCCCGGGATCCCTCCCTCCCCGCGGGATCCCTCCATCTCCCCGGGATCCCTCCATCCCCGTGGGATCCCTCCATCCCCTCGGCATCCCTCCATCCCCCGGGACTCGGTGGGGCTCGGTGCCAGGCTCCAGGATGCCCGCAGTGCCCCATGGAAGGACAGCTGTGGGTGCGGCAGGGGAACTTCCCCTTTCCGAGGCTCAGCGCTGCCTTCGGGCACTGGTTAGGGCAGGAAAGGGGCAGGGAAGAGGTGAAGAGGCACCTGCTGTGCCCGGGCACCCAGCAGCCCGCAGCACATCCCTCCCTGTGCTCCAGCTCGCTGCTCTGCTGTTCATGGAGGTAGATCCCAACACATCCCAGCTCCCACAGCACGTGTAACCAAACCTGCATTGCACAGGTGACATCTCCTGGAAATGCTGGGGGCAAGGAGACCCTTTGGAGGGCTCCAGACAAACCTCCCATGCCAAGACAGGCAGCTGTCTAATCTAGACAAGGATGGCTGTGGCTTTGTCCAGCCAAGTCCTGGACAAAGCCACAGATCCAAGACCCCCAAGGATCCCCACATCTCTCAGGGCACTCATCCTACAGATGCACAACCCGCCAGGGGAAGGGGGTTTAAGACCCAGCCTGATCCAATCCCTCCAGGAGAAGGGGGTTTAACATCCAGTCAATCCCTCCAGGGGAAGGGTTTAACACCCAGCCTGATCCCTCCTCCAGGGGAAGGGTGTAAGACCCAGCCCAATCCCACCCTGGGGAAGGGGGTTTAACACCCAGCCTGATCCACCCAAGTGCAATGACACAAACCTTCACAGAAGAGCTCAGAAGCAAATTTCCAGACCCCAAGAGCGGCCATTGGGTTAAAGGTGCAATGTCTACCCTTGAAAACACTCCCACAAAACTCCAGGACTGTGGAGCTGCAGGTGTGGAAGGATCTAGACAGGCACTTGGAACCAGCCAGGCAATGGGTGAGTGTAGGAAATGGATTTGTAGAGAATGGATTTATATTGTAATTAGGAAATAGCTGGCTTTTAATTGTGATGCCGTGAATTCTAACATCTGTATTGTCTCACCCTTGCCATGAGACTGAAAATGGTGTAAAAGTTTTTTAAATGCCTCTCAGTTACCCCATCTCTAGATCAGAAAAAGGCTTAATCCAACAGATGAGGAGGGCTCTGTGTTGAGCTGGAGGTGCCCTGCTGCCTGTCCCACCCTCCTCCTGACCCTGGGAGGTGCCTGGCACCAGACTCTGTGAGAGGCTGACAAACCAGCACATCCTAGAGCAGAGAATCCCAGCAGGATTGTTTGAAACAACAGTTCAAAAGTACTGCACCCTTCAGTGAAACTGAAAGTGATGTGCTGGGAGAGAGACTTAATTGAAGACACTGCAAGATTTGATCAGTCTCATCCAGCATTTATGAGTACTCTTAAAATATTAGATCTGAGCAGACATCACCTGTCTGAATAAGTTTGTTTAAAGGTTGTTTATTAAATATTATTTATCCACTGTTAAACTTCAGAGGGAGAAACATTAAACGTGTCTGGGATTCACAGGCACCACAACTGGCTCAGCATCCCCGAGCCCTGTCCCTCTGGCTGGCAGAGATAAGCTGTCAAGGACTGGTGATTTTAGGAGAGGGGTTGAGGTAAGCAGGGACAATATCTGCAGTCACCATCTCACACCAGTCCTGCTGCAGGAGGAAGAGGAAGCTCTGCTCTTCTCTCCTGCTCTGTCCTGAGCTCGGCTGTGTCCCTGGTCCTGGTGGCACAGGGGGCTGAGCAGGGCTGTGGTTTGGGAGGGGAAGCAGAGGAAGGTGCATGGCTGACTGTCACAAAAGTCTGTGGCTTCACACGGGGTGAGATGGGAGTACCAGATACCATGAAAAATGGGGTGAAAAAGGGCTGTGTAACTGTTTCAGCCCTTTCAGAGTTTCCCAACACCCAGGACTGTCCCAGGACCCTCCTGACTGCCCATGAACTGCTCAGCTGCAGCCTCATGTCAACCTTGTTGCCCAAATATTGAAGGAGCAGCAAAGTTCCATTTCTGTGTCCCTCTGAAAAGCTTTTCTCATTCTCTGCTCTTGGCAGGGCTCATCAGGTGAGACACAGAGATTTGCTGATTTTGTCCCCTCTGTTCAGGGATGTTTGCATGAAAAACAATTTTGATGTTATTTTTCCAAGAATCAAGAACGGTTTGGGTTGGAAGGAACCTTAGAGCCCACCTCACTCACACCTCTGCCATGGCCAGGGACACCTTCTGCTAGCCCAGGTTGCTCCAAGCTCTATCCAGCTTGGTCTTGGACATTTCCAGGGACGAAACATCCACATTTTCCAGCAAATTGTATAGGAATGACTGGGAGAGGGGGTTGCTTTTGATAACGCTCTCATTTTTGACTCCTTGCTACCCCAACCTTATGCAGAGGATACAAGCCTGGGCATCAGGGAATTATGGACATCAGCATTTCCTGAGAGCCCCCCAGGGAATGCATTTGTACATCTGTGAATATTTTCAGCCACAGTGCCAAGATGTCCCCAGCCACATCCCAAGAGCAGCTCAGGAGGAGAGCAGCCCCTGAGGTGGAACCGCGTGGAGAGCGGCACACTGTGGTCCCCAGTGTCACCTCCAGGCCTTGGTGTCTTTGGCCAGGAAGGTCATGGGGCAGCCCCCGCAGTTCTGTTGGGACTTGCTGTCCAGATCCGTGTGCTCTGGAGCACCACACTCCCACTTCTTTGGGTTCCAGAGCAGCCCAGGGCCCTTTTTTCAGACTCTGGGAGAAGCTGGGATGTGGCATTCACATTTTCTGGAAAAATCCCTTCACCCAGGATTTTTCTCCTGGGAAAGTGAGAAGCCTCAGAGAAAAAGGAAAACAATTATTATCTAATTTGCTTCTCCTGTGTTTTGCTCCTTTGGAATGTGTTTGGAGATTGTTTACCAACAGGTAGTTGTTTTATTGGTTTCTGCTGTGAGTTGTTTTCACTTTTTGGCCAATCAGTGCCAAGCTGTATCGGGACTCTGGAAAGAGTCACGAGTTTTCATTATTATCTTTTTAGCATTCAGTAAGTATCCTTCCTGTATTCTTTAGTACAGTATAGTTTAGTATTCTTTAATATAATATAGTATCATAAAATTGTGACTCTCTCCAGAGCCCTAGCACAGCTTGACCCTGATTGGCCAAAAAGTGAAAACAATTCACATGAAACTAATGAAACAATCTCCTGTTGGATAAACAATCTCCAACCACATTCCAGAGAAGCAAATGTGATGAAAATTGCTTTCCTTTTTCCCAGGAGAAAAATCCTGGGCAAAGGGATTTTTCAGAGAATGTGAATGCCACACTGGGCAGCTGCTGTAGCAGGGCCTGTCCCCATAATTCCTGCCTGGCCTGAGCTGTGAGAGAGCCCAGCGTGGGAGGGGAGGTCTCCAAGCAAGGAGAGAGGAGCACAGTCCTGGAGCTGCTTGTGGGGAAATTCAGTGAACCTCAGGAGCCTGACTGGCCAGTGAAGAGCTGGGTCAGAGGAGGAGGAGATGAGTTGGTGGCTGAAGAAAAGAAGATGTCAGGAGAGACAACAGACAGAGCTGGAGGAGGACAAGGCAAGAAGCAGGTCCAAGAGCAGGAATCTGAGTGGCTCTGTGCTGCCTCAGGGCTGTGTTCCAACAGCAGGAAGAGAATAAAAAGGCTTTTCCAGAGGCAGGGCTCAGGCTCAGGTGTGCTGGGGACTCTGGAGAACAAGGCTGTAACTCATCAGGGGAGAGGAAAATCAGTGAAAACAGGAGGGCAGCAAGAATACCTGAGAGGGTCTCCCCAAATGGGTGAGTCTGCTCTCACTGTTCCAGGGCTCAGGCTTTGCCATGGGGCTCCCAGGCCAGAAAAACCAATGTGAGCCTGGAGAAAGAAAAGCTGTCTTCTGTCCTGGCAAGTTCCTATGTCCCAGTTCCTGGGGTCGTGCTCCAGGGATTGTCATTGGAGATGCCTCTCCAGCTCAGTTATTTTATTTCAGAGCTGATTTGACCTGTGCTGGTTTGACAGCAGGTTTAGGGGCATTTCCCAAGGCACAATGGCCATGTTTTTTCCAAAGCAGATAATTTCTGAGCCAGCTGCTTGTTGCTGTGTTCACTGTGCCGTGGCCATCTGGGCAGGGACCTGTATCAGCAGTGACTTCACACCTACATAGGGGTTTTATCTAAGCTGTTTCCAAGGACTTTTTAATCCAATTTCAGTTGCCACCTGGCTTCACTTGATTCACCACAAATATTGTGAGATTTTGGAGAAAAGGCATTTGAGGAATTCATGCAAATGCAAAAAAAAAAATTCCAACTCAATGTTTCTCTTATGCTGGATTTGACTTCATGGGCATTTCAGATACTCAGGTGTTGATTAAATGTATACTCACATTTTCCCAGCCAGGGCTTTGCAAATGCCACCCTTCTCATGTCAGCTGTAAATTGGTCCATACAGCCCTGTCCTGCTCAGAGAGCCTGGCAGCAGGTCCCACACTCCAGAGAGGGTGTCCAGGACCCTATGGAATCACCAGGGCTTGTACAGCCCACAAAACAAAAGCCCCTTCCCTTCTCAGGAGAAGAAAAGGCTGCCCAGTAAGACCCCAGAGAGGAGGAGGTGACAGGGAAGTGACACCACCCCTCTAATTCAGACACAGTTTCCTTTTGGCTTCTGTGCAGCACAGAGTTGGCAGCTCCCTTCTCCAAGAGCTAAGCAATATTTCACATTTCTGTCATGCTCACAGAAGTTGTCCATCCCAAGGGACAGGTCAGATCTTCTGCAGTAATTCATCATCTCCTTCCCACCACTGCAGCTCCTGCCAGCAGCACTGCCCAGGCA